AAGGAAGGAAGGAAGGAAGGAAGGAAGGAAGGAAGGAAGGAAGGAAGGAAGGAAGGAAGGAAGGAAGGAAGGAAGGAAGGAAGGAAGGAAGGAAGATCTATTAGTAAACTGAAAACAAAAGAATCAGTTCTGAAGAGAGACTGATGCTGATGCCTTGAATTTACCTTCCAGCCTTTCTGATTATCTTTCTTCCCAGGGTTTGTTCATTGCTTGAGATGCCTCTGTGTAAACACAGGGGCTTCCACCCCCCAGTCACTACCCATCTACCCTCCCATCAGATCCCACCGTGATGCCTGTGCGTATGTGACTTTATTCTCATAGCAAAGCAGTGAGATGCCACAAGTGCAGGGTTGTGCCTTCACTGCAGACTCCATCGGGAGACAGAGCCAGGCTGGAAGAGAGAGGAGAGTCCTTAAAACACATGCATGCCCAGTACTCAGGAAAAAACCGCTCACGTGTGTGGAGGAAAATGCTCCCTGCTCCCCACTTCGCTCCAGAAGAGTCACCTTGAATGAATTACACTGGTGGCTGGAATGTGAGGGCGGAGCCCACGGCTCCAGTCTCCATGCACACGCTGCACTCCCTTAGCAGTGGTATCACTCGGAGCCAGCACAGGGTTTTAAAAGGATCCACTCCGCTGCAAAGAGCTGCCTTCAAGCTCTGACCCACCAAGTGGATTCATTGTTATCAGCTCTGGGAAGCAAGGCTGTGCTGTGGCAATCTGCCATCTATGCAGATGCACTGTGGAGACATAGCGAAGTGATAACAGAGGGAAGTAGGATGGTCTGGTGACCAGGGTACAGGGCTGGAGTCAGGACTCCGGGGCTTGATTCCTGTCCATAAACTGTCTGTGCTGGGTTATGCTGAACATAGACACATCAGCAAATAAGTGGGGCCTGCCCGTTAGTTACACGTATCTCACCTGTCACATCTGCTTGGTTAGCAATTGCGGATCATGTTTAGTTCATATCATTATCCAAACTACTGGAATACACCTTATTTCTTCTTTCATTCCCTCCTTTCTCTTCCAGCTTTACTCCTCCTTCGTGCACTTTTCCTTCTTCATTTCCCCTCCCAGATCTATTTAACTTTCCTCATTTTTTTCTAGCTGTTCCCAATTCTTCCCATCAGGAAAGTGACACCGATTAGACAAACTCTTCCTCATGTGTCTCTTTCCTCCGCTTGCCATCACATCGCAGGCTGATTGTGCTCCCCCCAGTTAGTCTAACACCACCGACAGCATTTAATGCCAAAAGCCCAGCCGTAGCCCATGCAGACGATACTGAGGGATCGCAGCAGCCCATAAAGAATCGTCAAACTCTGACTCTAGTCCCTTTGGAATAACCTGTGGATGAAACCCACAACCATGATTCCGCTGCCCCCAAAGCAACAAAGACCACTCGGGAGCTGTAAGAAATTTAGGAGAAAATAACTTTGAAAAGTCTCTATCTCCTGGTAATTGCAGCGTGCCCAGAACCAGACAGCGATGTGTGTACATGTACATACATGCTGCAAAACACAGCTTCTGGGCTCAGCCCAGGGAATCCTTGGCAGACAGCCCAATAACAAAGTCAAGGGTAGGCTTGAGCAAAGGTCACCACTGTACCAAAGTGGGACAGAATGCATTTCCCTGGGGGGGAATGCACCGAGTAATGATATATTGCACGGACAGCTCTGGGACTTCTAAGCACCAGGGGGAGGCGGACTTCTAAGCACCAGTTTCCCAGCCACTTGGCCTTTGGGCACCTATTGCCCGACCTTTCAAAGGGCGCACCTTTCCTAGGCATCCTGCACCATGTCCTGTCTGCCCTCCATGACACCGGGGGGGAGGGGGGAGATGCAATTGGCTGCTGCATTCAGTTCCATAAGGCCGACCGAATCAAATATATTGGACAAAACGACTCACATTGGTAGGTGGGACTTTCTGCACAAAGATGCAATTGCTGGCCAATGGCAAGGCCTCATCATAGCAGTGAAACAAAGGTGGGGTTTGCTGGAGGTTCGTTCGCAGCGGGCACCGTCGTGAATCATCTTTGGGGATTGAACTGAGGACCTCCAGCACCATGTCTACCACTTGTTCTAAAGGACTCCTCTAGCTTATAGCTGTAGGTCAGTCATTCCCTCAATGGATCAGCCGCAAGATGAGGTCCCTTTGTTAAACGTGACATTTAATAATCATTTGCTAACAGAAATTACTGTGTGTCTTGCTTAGGGGCACTTCTGAGCTTGTGAAAATGTGGGTCTGATGCTGCTTGTTAACCCAGACGGCACACGCACACACACATTCTCCCTCTTTGGTAATTAACCTCGCTCTTGGCCTGTCATGACCCTATTATGTCAGTGATGCCCACTGCCAGGCCCCAGAGTGACATTTCACATCTCTGTTTTTGGACTAACTCCCATTGAAGGGACACTACAGACACCAGTTTGCCTCCTGATTTAACTTTCACCCTACATATTATTTTCAAAGCGACTACTGATTGTGGATGCCTGAGTTAAAGGGACCTGATTTTCAGAGGGGGATGCTTGCTTGGCACTTTCTGGAAATCAGGCCCTTTAAGATGTCTCAACGTGAGGACTCAAAATCACTGGTCCCTGTTGAAAATCTTGGACTTAACGACAAACTGAAATTCTTTATCTACCCTGCGCTCATACAAAGCTTTCCGGTCATGTAATCAAGTTTAGCAAGAGAGATCATCTCCCACTGATTGTCTGAAAAGCAGCCCCCTCTGCTATCTCCCAGAAACATACACTAAAACCTAAGTGATTCTGAATGGGTTAGAGCTGCAAACTGGAGAAATCTAGGTCTGACTGTCCAAAGAATAAGGACCAGGAAATCAAGGCAGAACACAACTGTTACGTCTGCCAATCCAGACCACCAAATGGGCTTTATGGCTCAGATGTCACCAACCAAACCTCATCATAGCCCCCAGGTGCTCAGAAACTATGAAAATAGGGGTGTTTCAGCAGATATATCAATAGATCCTGCTCCTGAAGTCAGTGGCAAACTCCTGTTGATTTCACAGGGATGAAAAAGGGGAGAGAGTTGCACAATATTTCACACCAGAACAGGACAAAGGATCCTTCTCTTAAATGAGATCTCCTCTTTCTCTGTTAGGAGATGCATGCATGCATCCATGGGACAGGAAACCCTCAGAATCAGGGAGAAGTTGGATGCACTGGCTCTGTTTGTGGGATCACACTGAAAAAGAAAGTAATACTCCTAAATATAAAAATATCAAGGGGGGGGGGGCTGGAGAAAACACCCCATGCCTGCCCCACCAGCCCACTGGTTAAACTATGGAGCAACCCCCGTCTCACAGCCATTTTTTGTTCCTCTCTCAGATTTTTCATGGACTTAAGGCTGCTTTTCAGTTACAAAGTGCTGTTTGCTTTGGGTGAGTAGGGGCATTTCCTCCAAGGCAAATGTCGTAGAAAGTTATGAGACTGACGCCCTGGGAAGGGTTGGAATTTTATCTGGTAAAAGTTGCAATTTACTGAGGGACACAGCGGCAAAGTTTGTTCGAGATACTCATAAGAGTCATTAGAGTGCCCTCTGTCCATACAAAGTGGTACTGCCAGACTCTGTAAATGAATCCTTGACAAGGCCTCCACTCTGGAGCAAGCAAACATTCCCCTGCATGGGATGTCTTGAATACCACAAACAGCACCTGAATTACTTGGTGGTGAACTTGGTACATACAGCCCACAGAACACACACAGACACCCCACATCATTAACATACCCGCCGATAAGATGATCGCATTGTTGCAAATAGGGCCTATTTCTCACTTTACACATGCACACCCATATCCATCCATTCACCCCTTCACACCAACTCATGCACACACCTACTCAGTTTCCCTATTTAG